ATCTGCAGCCAGATCTCTGCACAGTTTCTCATACGTGGACCTCCTGCAGAGGTATCTAGGCACAGAAGTGCCAATGTAGACCATGATTTTAGGTTACAGCTCCTGATAATAACTGGAACTGCTCTTTCAAAAGCTCTAATGCACTGGAAGGCAAGAAGGAATGTGGTTTGGCAGGCAGAGTGGGCCTAATTTAACCAACTGCTTATGTGTCACTGAAATCAATGGTGCTATTTAGGGGCTTAATTGCTTTGCTGAATCCAGGCCAAAGAAACAAAAAGCAAGATGGTTAAGCTGCAAAGCTTGGATATATATCTTAAATCTTGAACACTTACATCCTTTATCAATATTATGATTCTCCCCAACAATTCAGAGTTTTTCAGAAAAGTTTCAAAGGAAACACATGCCTTACTTTTTGGCCCTGACTTAGCAAACATTTTGGTGTACCATTATTCATGCAGATGGTGCCATTTTCTTAAGAACAGAAAGACACAAGTGAAGTGCCACAACAGGCTGTTTTTGCAGGTCAGAGCTGTATTTAATATCTACAGCATTTAAGCATTCCTACCAAGGTTATACAACTGCTAGAGACATCTGGACCTAATACTGAAATGTTCCTATTGCAATCTGTGTGTGCGTGAATATTCTTGTGCCAAAATGTTTACTTTAAACTGTCTTTAAAAGAAAGAACAATAAGTTCAAGGAGTTATAATTTTTTTCAGTTGTTTTTCTTTCAATAACAAACACACCTCAGACGAATACAAATTAACAGTTTCAATACCAGTGTTTAAATAATGCTTTTACTCACTGTTTAGTCAGTATCCATAAAGAATGGCTACATTTGCCCTAATTAATGCCCCATTTCCAGGAAAGGTTTTAATTAACATCTGACATTTAAGCAGCACTACAGTGTGGTGTGCAATTATCACCTGGCCTACTTTGGTGTGATTCAAATGCTCTTGGAGAAAAAGATGCTTTTTTTTTTTTCTCTGAAAGTTTTACAGAATGGAGTAGCAACAGAGACCTAAGGAAATGAAGGAAAGAAAGCCAGATCTTCGAAGAGATTTAGGGTGGAGTTTTCCAGTACAATTAGCCCACCCCAGTGGCTGGCTGCCCCCTAAAAAGAGGGGTACCCACTCATGCACCTTGCAGCTTTGCCCTGGGCCATCTATTTCTAACCCACTTCCTCTCCCCAAAGTGGCAAAGCCCTGAGTGCCATTGGAAGAGTCAGAACTAATAATACAATTAAGTCCATTTGATATGCTGCTAAAACAGGATGGTCTTCCTCCTCGAGTTTCCTTCATCTTCTTTCCCCTGCTTTGTGTCCCTCAGGCTCCACCAGCAGCAAGCCAAGCTGGTTCAGTTCCTTAGCCCTGGAATCAAAAGAGAAACTAACTGCTGTGCTAAAGCCGTTTCCTGACAGTTCAGTGAGCTCAGCTGGCGCTCCTCTGGTTCTCACTCCCAGGATTGAGAAGGGAGAAGTGTGGGACCACCACCTCCCAGTGGAAGTGGGCTGGTATTTTGTCTTGTGAAATCAGATCTTATGTTGTGTAGGATGGTACACCACAAACAAGCATGTTTTTGTACTGTATATATTTTATATCAGAAAATTAGTGTCTAATCAAATGACAGTGTTGGTGAAGTGAAAGGTGAGAGCATGTGGCAGGGACCTGATGGGCCTTTTGGTTCGTCTGAGGCCACTCTTCCCACAGTGAGCTGTAACCAGAGAGGATTTTGCAGAGCAAGAACATACTTTACCCTACCTGTTCAAATTGCTCTATATGGCATGGAAACATGGAACGGTTTAGGTTGGAAAAGACCTTCAAGGCCATAGACTCATACACTAACTTAAGTAGCTATTAATGTTTAAAGTCCCAGTATTTGTGGGGTCACTGAGAGTGTGAGCAAGTGTACCAAGATGTGGCTGTGCTGAACCTCTCTCCTGCTCTCTGGCCTGATGAATATTTCATTATGCTGTGTCAAGAGAAACAGCTTTTGGCATGTGGGCCAGGGGTCCTTTCCCTCAACTTCCCAATGATACACCACAGCCTCCTGATCAGAGCACCTTCCCCAGAGAAATGAGCTGGTTTGCTTTGGCAGAAGAGGGCCTGAGTGACACTTCCCATGCTGTGCTACAGAGGCCGGTGTTTCCTTACCTCATCTTCCAGCCATACCTTACTGGAGCTCAGAGTCAGCTCTGCAGGAGAAGATCCTTAAACAACATGGACAGAGAACATAAAATCAACACATTGTGATAGGATGGGTACGGAGCTACCTGGGAAGAGCAGAGCCATTTTCAGACACATCCAGTGACCGAATATCATGTGAGAAACTGGCAGCTTTGGTGCATGAAGTGGAGGATGGGCTGACATACAAGTACTGATAGAGTTGCAGTTCTGAGGTACTCATGGTGACTGCCCTGTCCCCAGCCAGCCCCTGCCTAACAAAGTCAAACCAAATGTAACTTGGCACGTGGGGCTGCATTTAGAAAACTGCAGCAGCTCTGGGGTATTTCAGATATCTGCAGTGAGGACGGGAGAGACAGCTGGGGTGGTAGTCTTGTTAGCTAACCTGATATAAATTGTCTCTTCCCATGAATCACAGCTGTCAGGCACCAATGGGACTGGGGAGCCTCTAGGGTGAGGCTGTAAGGAGAAACTGAATATCATGATTTTGGACCCAGAAATCTAGATTTTAGAAATATTTCAGAAATTTAGGAATAGAATGTATGTGTCCACCTTTTTATGTGGGTCTACTCTTTGGAGTATATCTTACACCATCCTTTAGCCTGCCACACTTCCACACAGAGCTGATGATATTTGCCTCCTAAAAATTACGGTCAAGGGACCCTTTATGAACTGACTGTGGGTTTATGTGTTGGTTAGTGTCCAATAATTCCTGAGATCTAAGCCCAGATCTGTCATCTATCTGTTCCATTTCTCTGAAAGGAGTTCATAAAAATAGCACCCGGGAGCTCTGTATCTATTGGAATTCAATATTTCAGTCTGGCAGCCTTGAAACAGAGAGTGAAGCATTGCTCTTTTAGCCAGTACATTGTCGCCAGCTTCTGGGTCGGCAACAGGGAATGGGTACATTCTATATAATTCAGGTGGTGACCTGACTTTCCTCAGTCAGTACTGCTTCAGCAATGCAAGGAGAAAGTGTTATTGAAATCAGTGGAATTATGTGCAAGAATAAGAATAAGCAACTTGCAGGATTGTACTTTTTTTTTTTCTCTTTTTCTCTCTTATTGACCAGACAAACATCCAGGGGACTAGTCACCATCCTGCTGAAAGTTAAAGCCTGTCTGGTCTTTATTGTCTCTTTTCGAAGATGATCCCATCCACCTCTTCACTTTCCTACAGCGCTCATTCTTCACTCTGAGTGCATCCTAGCATTCCTTATGTCCTCTATGACGCAAGGCAATAAAACCAAAAAATGAGGCAAACTGGTTTATGGATCTGCCGGTCTGGTTTGTGCTACTTCCAGCAAGCGCTGCTAGGTGGCAATATGTTACCTGGAAAACCACGAGCTTCCAGCCGCCGTCGCCTTCCTCTGCTTCCGACCGAACTGGGACGTGCCTGGGCATCGCTCCGCTCCCAAAGAGACAGGCCCTTGGAGCAGGACCTGGTGAGAGAGCAGCTTCACTCACACAGATCTTTACTGAGGTTTTCCAGACACAACTGCAGGGCTGAATCCTACTGGAAAAATTCTTTGTGAACCCAAGAGGAAAAATAAGAGGCAAGCCTGCTTGTTGCAGAGAGTGTTGTAAAAAGGAAAGGTATCCTTCTATTGTATAAAAATAGCACTGCCCAGGACTGGACCGTGTCATATTCTCGATTCTCTGAACAATACAAAATTGAAAGTACCCGTTCAGCGTGAAAAGCTTTTGTTTTCTCCACATAAATGAATAATTGGAATCCCCTACATATTCAATCATAATTTTTAATGAACTAGGCCAATTTTGGAACATTTGTATTGACAGTTGGGTTGAAAAACAGCTTTAATAAAGATGGAGAAGATGTATTTCCAGATACATATTTCAGCCATGCTACAAATACTTAAAACTGAGTCATCTTATGTATATGTCTCAACAAGGACACAGAAAGACTGGCTCATATTTGCATAATGTTTTGAATTTGCAAAGCACTAAGTGATCTTCATTGAAACCATTTATTTCCCTTGATCTGGCTGCTGGCGAAAGCGAGGGCAGGGCTGTGTGTGACAGTGCCATTTTATGCCAGCCTCAAGATTACACAATTAAGTTTGATGCCAGGGTAGTTTGCGGCTTGCTCAGCACTTTGTCCCAGCAGCCAGAGCTGGGCACAGGTGAGCAGCACCTGGAGCCGGAGAGGCACAGCGGCCAGGAACAGGACAGGTGGAAAGAGCTCCCACTTAGGCTGACAGGTAAAACAGATGGATGTGAAAATGGGGAGCCCAAGTCTCTCCTTGTGGCGACGTGGACAGGGAGCTAACATCTCTGCCGCCTGCTGCGCTGCCCCAGGCACAGCCGGTGGGGCCCCGCTGCGCCAGGCTGGATGTTCCCGGCAGGGATTCGTATCCTCACCTGAGGCGAGACCTTGTCCTGAGCCAGCGGAGAAACGAGGATCTTTAATTACCCTGACTTGGATAGAAATACGGGGCTTTGTTTTCAGAGATGGAGGCGATCGGTGCAGAAAACAACAATAATGACGACCTGCTTATGTAGTACTTAGCAACCTTGAAGCTGACAAGTATCGTCTGCTACAAAATTGCTTGAATTCACGCAAAGCTCTCGGTGCTTGGGGTCACGCCTCTATGGATGCGGTATGAGACCTCTCCTGCCGGCTCCATGTCAGCCCCCTGCTCCCGGGTGCTCAGTCGGCTTTTAATGCGCTTTGCTCGGCGCGGGCTGCCCCGACACCGCTGGGCCCGGGGCGCGGGCAGGCGGCTGCGGGCCCGGCCCGGAGGCCGCGGCAGCGGTTCCCGGCGGGGCCCTTTCCCCGCAGCACCGCCCGCCTCCGCTGCTTCGCCGGCGCCGGGGCCGGTCAGTGCCGGGGCCAGGTCAGTGCCCGGCCGCGGGGCTCCGCGGCCCTCGGGGGGAACAGGGGCCTCTGCGGGGAACGGGGCTGCCGAGGCGGCGCGGGGCCCCGGCAGCGCCCGGGGGCGGGGCAGGCGCGGGGCGCCCCGGTCCCCGCGAGGCCTCGGGGCGCCCGCCGCAGAGGCGAGGCGGCCTCATCGGTGTGGAGAGGCCGGCGGTGCTTCTGCTTAGCTCTGACAGCTCGGCTGTCGCTTTGGGAACAGCCGGTCACCGCCCACTTCGGCCTTGCTCGGCACTGAGCCTTGACGGTTGATTTAGCATAAGTCATTTTGTAAAAAAAAAAAAAAAAAAAAAAAAAGTCAGAAAAGCTTCCTTAGGTCAGACCATGTGCAACAGCGCACTGCTCGGGATTTTGGCATGGCAGCTTAGCAGCAAGAAATGTCCCCTGGGGAAGTAGCCTCCAATCCTCGGTCCCTTGAGTCTTGACATCTTCCCGGGGTGATGCCGCGCAGGGAGGTTGCCATTGCTTCCCGGGATTCCGTGAGTGGAGCCAAGGAAGCCGGTGACAGGCAGTCCTGGTGTGGTGCTGCTAGTTCCCACTGCTGTTACAGGGGGACAGGAGAGTCGTGGCTGCGTGGCCGGTTCAGACCGTGGTATATGGGTTTTCTTGGTGTTGCTGTCGGCAGGAGCATTTGTGGGTGGTGGTGGTAAGGAGAGAATAGTAAAGAACAGGGAATTAAGTGGAATTCAGAATACTTCTTGACTATAAAAGTTACACTTTTCAAGGCAACCGTTGGGAAGGCATCAGTATTTGTGGTTACAGCTAGAATTGAATTAATGGTTTTGTGGTTGAAGATTTGATGACTGAAAGGCAAATGATGAGTTGGTTGTGGTTGTTTCCATTCCTGTTAAGTTGTGCATCTGCTCTTCTTAAAGGTCTCTAAAACACACCTAGTGAACAGTGAACTTAAAAGAGTTTTCTGTCACTGTTAAAAAAGCTCCATTGATGGCACGTGTGAAGAGAATCTCTTTGGATAAAAGCATTAAAAAAATAAAGGTCCCAAGTGCTTTTTGCAGAAGGTAACAGATTCTTGCCCTCTGCTATGAAACTCAAAATCTTTTACTCACCATGGGACCAAATTCAAATGTTTTTAGGTAGTGTCATCTGTATTTACGGAAAGGCTTCCTTTGTCAGCTGTTTTGCATCCTTAAATGCCATTATTTTTCTGTGGACTTCAGTATATTTCTTTGTGATTTACTTACTATTTTTTTCAAAATAATTAAAATGTGATTAAAAGAGAATGTAATTGTTTAGGGATAGAAAGACAATTCACATGTAAACTCTAGCCTGCAGGGATCATTAAAAAATACAAACCTAGACAAAGAACACATAGTTTGGAAAGCCATAGCTTGCCATGCCCAGAACTGGGCTGCTGAAAAACAATGAAAATAACAAGAAAAAAAAAAAAAAAAAAGATAAAAGCAGAAATGAAGTGTAAATGGTCAGCCAGCTTAAAACTGAAACTATGGACACAGGTTTGTTTTTTTTGTCACTTACAGTGTTAAAAGGTTTTTCTTCTCCCAGTTAATTTTTATTTCCCATGTACATTATATAATGCCGTTTCAATTAGTTACTTTGGACATGTTCTCACTTCTTGTTCTCAGCTTCTGGATGGATAAATTTTGTTTATAATGCTGACATTTAGAAAGTAGCAGGCCCAAATCTTTTGTTCTCTCAACAGTAATACAAAGGCTAAAAAATTGTCCTTTGAAATACCAGCTATTTTTAAAGCCTGTTTTTAGAGGAGTCATAAGGATTTAAAGTAACTTGATCAACTGGAGGGACTGTTGATCCCATCTAATTTGTCTACAGTGCAGGTACCAGACATATTATACTAACAATTTGAACAGGGTTCAGCAAGTTTGAGAGCCATGACATTTTGAGAAAGGCATGAGGGATCCATCCCCTAGTTGGGGAGGCAGAATCTCCTCAGCTCCCCAGCTTTGTTAAGTTTCTGTATTTGCAAATTATGTTTTGTCATTAGGTTTTCTGCTGCTGATCCCTTAGCATGCTCATAATCTGCTTGCTGCTTGCTTTCAGCCTTGAGAAAGCCAGCTGGAGAAGTGACTGCCCTCAGCTTGCTTCATCTGGTAATTATTAGAGTGGGAGAACCTGTTGGACAATGTGTTTAAGTTAACCTAACCCACGCATCATGGAAGGAAAGTAGAGGGATAAGTGGATGAGGTAGGTGGAGGTTACATCTCTGTAACCTTCAGGTGAGGGGTGATGACAAGCAACTGGCAACAGAGGAATCATGCATGTGAGTCCTCCCTACTACACTTTCTTGTGTCTGAAGGCAGGGTCTGTGGCTCGACTGGGAGACCAAGCTGGCCTCCTTTTGTTTTTGTATCTCTTCTCTTTGTCCAGCACCATCATTTATTTTCTTTTTTTTTTTTTTTATTCCCTATAATCACCCACCAGCCCACTGCCCAGGGTTACAGTCGGTTGTTGTTGTTTTCACTCATTTTCAAGTTACTTTTATTTTCATGCTTTGTTTTCTCCATCACTTTGTCTTTTCATCTGTCATGCTGTAGGGTCAGTTCCAGCCCTCAATGCTGGGCCACCACTTGCTTTCCATTCATTTGCCACTGCAGGAGCCTGTGGAAGCATCTGCCAGTCATGCCCACTGCTCTCTAGTACAGGTGAATGCCTTTGAAGGTGACTGGTAAGCCACCTACACAGGATTGAATTGCGAGTCATCTCATCATCATCCTCAGTTCACATCTTCTAAGCTTTCTTCCCTGTCTTTGCACTTCTGTGCTTGTTGCTGAAATTGCAGCCACCAAAGGTCTTCATCAAGTCAGGTTTTCTTCTTGACCAAGTGGCCTTGATGCCTTTGGTAGTCTCACAAAAGTGCCTAATTGTTTTTTTAATGCCATTTGAATATTTTCTCCTCCCTGAGATTTATTTTGTGGATCTTGTCTGTTGAAACCCTTTATTTCTCTTATGCTTAATCTCAGTATACCTTCATCCAAACCCAGAAATTCAGTTGGTGGGGTTTTTTTTCCCCAGTGTCTATATCTGCACATCACACCTGTCACATCCTGCCCCAGATGAAAGGGCATGCTTATTTCTCTGATGTATTGAAAACCACATCCCTGCATCTTTTTTTTCCCTGAGTTGTGTCAATAATTCAGGCACCATTTTTGAACTGGAATTTTCCTTGCTCATGTATTTTAACTTGCTGATTTAGCTTGCTGTGTAGTGCAGTACTCCTTGTTTGAGCATACAGCTCCTAAGATTCAGTTCTCTGGTTTGTCTTAGCTCTTCTACCCTTTCTTCTAGCAAGTTGCTTCCTACAACCCTTACCTCTTACTTTGGCCAGGTATCTTAATGTTCAGTGATAATTGCAGCTGGCAGCATTGCTGGAGGTTGGTGTTTGATACATCATGTGTTAGGAGACATTTGGGTTGCAACAGAGTAGTGGTAATGGCAAGGGCAAATACCCTTGTTCAAGACATAATGATTCCCAAAGAATCTACTCAGGGAGTATTCATATTGGTGTTATCCCTATTATTGCTATGTTCTATTAACATTGTAAGGTCTGAATTTTACTTAGACAGTTGCCAGAGGCTGTCAGAAGGCCTCTGATTATCTGCATGCACAGAAATACATAGATTGTGAGTGCCTGCATGTAGATACATGTACTGCACTTGTAGATACATGTGCTGCTCTTGCATAATGTGTGTCAGTCCTTGGTACTGGAGTGCTGGCACTCGATGTGTTTATATTAACCCACAGCCTGCTACGCCACAGGCAAGGGTGTTACAAAATCACTTGAGTGTCAAATGGGATTTAAACAGTTGTTTTATGTAAGAGGTACAATAACTGTGGAATGAACAACTATTGATGTCCATACTGTTGGCTTCTCTCTTAGTTGTCACCAGTGATGTATAAAGCTATAGCACTTAAAACATGAAAGATGCTAATTGACCACTGTTATTCCTATACTGTCAGGTTGGGGTTTTTTTCATTGTAGGAACTGTGCATAAACTACCTTTGCTACAGAGGCTAATGGGTATAGCATGTTGCCTTTTTAAAATTAGACCAAGACTCCATTTCTGTAAGTATGTATAAATGGATGTGATTATGCTAAACAGAAAATCTGAGAACTTCAGTGTTAATAATATCTCTTGGCTGGTCCTACAACATCATAAATATTACTGCAACATCTTTCTTTCACTGCTTTCTTGAAAAATACAGAAATAATCAATCTCAGTCATGCAGTGGATTGTGAGCGCTCCGTACTGATTGAAATTCTGGATGTTGTTTGTCAGATATCAGCAGAAATCCCTTTAGACTGAGAGAGCTCTAGCTGTTCATATCATACTTTTCTTGAGCGGTTAGCTCAGTCAGACTGGACTATTAAAATAATCTTATTTTATTAAAAAATTGTATTGGTCACTGACCAGTACTGTAGGAGATGGTTGTAAAGAAAATAATTCAAAGATTATACCTTGCATGAGTCATTAATCATGAGTCATGATCAGCAGGCAGTGGTGTCCAATTTGTTTTCTAATCCCTCACTTGCTGCTGTTCTTTATTACCATAGTGATAATATTAAAGAGCTGTTAATGCACATAACCACACAGTTGAAAATGACAGACTCTTTTTTCGTTGGAATAAAATTTCCATATCTTAAGTCTGTTTTGCTCAGTATATTTCTTGTCATGAGAAATTCAGTACTGTATAAAAGTAATGAAAAAAGTTTAAGTCTGAAAGTGGTTAATATAGCAGAACAGTCTTTTTCCCCCCCTTTGCTTTCAAGCCAGTCATTGGGGCTTCCTAGAGAATTCCAGCTAGTCTTTTTTAGTATGTTTTAGTATCTACTTTGTATTCATGAAAAACTGGGAGCTGGTTGTTGAAGGTGCACTTTACAAGGAAAGGCAGCACTGTCCATGTATTTCATGTTTGTTCTCTCCTGAGCAAAAACTAGAGCTGGATGGAAAGTTTTATTGCTTTAATATATGCTGAGGAATGACTACTGAGGTTTTAGAGAAAAGGGAAGGCTGTCTCTCTCTTGAAAGACTGTATATACAAAGAGTCAATTAGGAGAAATGAGCTTTAGAAACCCATTTTCACTCTTTAAATAAAATTTTAAAAGCCCTGAAAGGCGGTAGCTGAAGTGTTGCAGACTATTAGAATGTGCATAGATAGAGAGTGTTTGAGTGCAGCAGCAGTCAGGGAATGTTTTTTATGAAGTAATGAATCTTGTATTCAATTAGATTACAAAATTTAATCAAGTTTAAAATTAGTTTTATTAGTTTACACTTTGGAAAAGTTCATCGTGACAGATTAAAGCCTTGTTTGGCAACAGATATTAAAAAATCATCCCTTTACGTTTTCTTGTGCAGATGATTTTATAATGCACAAATCTGAGTAGGCCTTACTAGTTTCTTTGTGTTGAGCTTGTGAGATCCGGTTGTATTGGTGGGTGCAGTTTGGCAGGACAGGTATGAATCTCATGGCATAGATGGCTCTTCACAGTTGCCTGGTACTGCAGCATGTGCCTTCACATCCCATAGTGTGGTTGCTCTGCAAACTCCTCCCCCCTTTGAATGAGGACTGTACCTGTACCAACAGAAGCATTTTCAAGTTTAGTGTAGGATGGTACAGCCAGTGACAAGATAAGTGTTCACCTGGCAGGGCTGATTAGGAGCAATTAGGAACTAATTGTGTGTGGTTTTTAATGTGCATTTGCTTGATCATTTGTAAATAATAAAGGTTTTCAAAAATATTGAGTCTGTAAGATATCCTGAACAGAGCATACAATATAGCTGTCACCAAATTCTGTCTCAGTGAATGTTTGTGTTATGAGTTCACCTTAGAAAAACTTTCCAACAGCTGCTTGCTAATTTTGAAAGTATTTTGTTTCTGCTAATTATGATTCAGAAACAAATTTTCCCAGTTGTCAAAAAAAATGAGCAACTACCATGTCTTCTGAATGGTCAAGCCCATTAAAAAGTAGGTTGGGGCAAAGGTAGGACTACTCTGTTATATTGCACAGTAACAAGAGGTTTTGTTTCCATGTTCTGTGGGAGTTCTTTTGATTCCCATTCTGATTGGTTTCTAAGATGACTTTATTTCCAGATCAGCTCTTTTCAGTTCAGGCTTTACCCAGTTTCTTTCAAGTCACTTGTAAACTGCTTTCTCCAGTAGACCCGTTTCCAGAGTAAATAAATTAAGGCAGAGATGCAAATCAAGTGATAATTACTTTCTTGTTGTTTCCTGATCTACAGTCATACACTGTAGAGTGGAAATAGCAGAGGAGTAAGCCATGGGTATACTGGTACACAGAAATACTTTACAAGTATTATTACCTGTATAAAAGGCAAGTATGGCGCTCAGTGCATAATACTGTTGCACACTTCTCATCCTTTGGAGAACTGCACAGATTCCGTGCCCAAATGAGATTAACTCCAAGTGCTACTGGGATGACTGGGAAAAGCACATAGCAATCAAAAGGCTAGGCAGACTAATTAGTTTTAAGATGGGGTGTGACAACTGTGTTAATGGAATTAGGTGACGGGGAACAGACTTCGATATAAGAATGATCTTCATTTCTTAATTTTTAAGTTCCTCAATTATTTCTCTGGGGAAGGTCTTGCTCTAATAGTTGCTTACAGAAAAACAGGATATCCAGACCTTGAAAGTTGTGGGATTTGATAGGATTTTTCCTCTGTTATAGGTGTGTTTGGGGGTCTTGGTATTTTTTTACAAGGAAGGGTGAGAGAGGGTTTGTAAGAGTAATACAAAGTAAATTGGTCTAGTGGAATATGTAGTTTTTTCTGTAATTTTTGAGCCTCTTTTGTTTTCTGCACACAATAACTTCTTTGATAAATTTTACAAGGAAATATTTTAAAAGGTGCTAATACCTGGCTTAACTACTAAAATCACTACATAAAAGTCCTTCTGTTAACTTTGTGGGGGTAGATTCAAATGAAGAATTTTGCTAATATAATTTGCACTGATTTCTGTCAACTGTTATGATTGTATCACCTTTATATTAGTTTCTGCTGTCATAGTTCCCTCTTTCTCAGAGGACTGAAGTGGCTTTCAAAGGAAATTTCCTAATTTTTTTTCCCCTCACTCCATGTATTTCCAGAAATGGCCCTTGCTTTGTGGAAGAACTTTCTTCAGATTACAATTAAAAGGGTACTACAACGAAGAAGGTTGTCACTGTATAATGGTGCTCATGGCTATGAGGAAGAACTGATAAAGAAGAAACTTCAGCAGTTTTCTGGTGGATCCATCAACCTTTCCAAAGAAGACAATGGCATTGCAATACTTACTTTGAATAATCCAAAGTTAATGAATGCCTTTACAGGTATTAATTAGTTGGTGGGATTGCTGGTTGGTTTTGGTCTTTCTCTTGTTCAGTTACCTATTGTGACATTTTGCCTAAAGAAAGTGAAACACTCTGCTTTGCCACACCTTAGTTAAAAGAGTAAATGTGTTTATTCTGATGTGCAGCAAATATGTCCAGTGTTTTGTATAGTAACTTTGCTACAAATGTCATAAGACTCTAAGAAATTCTCAGTGACACAAGGACTGTCTTGCAGAAGGTGCTTCTCCCCATGTTGTTTAAGTGTTAGCACAATTCTGCCACTGAGCTCTTTCTTGCATCTCCTCTCATTTTGTCATCACTGCTCTGGAAATATGGAAGGCATTTTTGTGGGCATGAGATGATGCCACCTCCCTTTTGTAGGTGATATAGAAAGAAAGAGTGAGTTTGTTGCTTGGTTCTTTACCTAAAGCCTTCCCTGTGCATTAAACTTCTGTAGTTTGGTCTTTTCCACTTAGTCAAACTGTCTTCCATTTGTTCTTCATTTGCCTTATGTCTTAAATATCAGTGACTGATTAATTAAAGATCAGATGAGCTGGGTATTCTCAGCTGTTGCAGGTCAGTGATCTATTTAATATGCTTTTACACTGGAGAATACTTAGCTATCAAAACCAAGTGCCCTATTTTATTAATCTTGTATTATGACAGGGTTTTGTTCTCCAAGCTGAGTATATTTGCTGTCTCTTCTTAATTATTTAGATTATTCCAATTTATGCCACTCTCTTCATATATGAGTGGCACAGGTCCAGGGTGTGAATCTGCTTGAGTTGGAGCTGTGCATAAGCCTTTACTATAAGAATGATTTTATCTATTAATATTTTGATGTGGATGCATTTGTGTCATCTTGCTAGTTTCTTTGTTGCTGTTCTGTCTTCCTGCCCAGTTCTCACTGTTCCTTTGCTGTGAGCAAACATTTTGCAACATGCTAGCGAAGTGTGCCCTTTACATGCAGAGTGTCAATCTAGTCTTTCCACTGTTAGCTGAAAGGAAGCTAAGAGAGCAGCAGAATTGCTGTTAATGCACCCAGATGTTTCTGCATTCTCTTTTGTGTTGCTTAAAAACCTTATGTATAAAATCATTACCTAATTTAAGAAATTGTAGCTAAAAGATGTTAGCATAGGGATTGTCCTTCTGCATGCCTCCCTGTTAGCATACATTCTGTTATACAATCATAATTACATGGTTGTTTCTCCTTTTTCTGCAGATTGGTTTCTATTCTTGACTCAAAACAAAACTGTGCAATGTACACCCTGTAGACAGTGTGCTTTTAGCTTATTTGTTGTGGAAGTTGAAAGGGGTACGTGAAATGAGCTGTAACAGCAAAAGGAGAGAGCAGACTGGGTTTTTCTGCTCTTTGAAGATCAGGAGTAATAAAAATCAAATTGCTTAAACCAAACTTTCATATAAACTGGGAAATATGTTCTCTGTTTTCTGTGTGCTTGGCAGGAGGGGCTTAGAAGTGATTGGTAGCCGTGTTGAGCAGGTTCAGCTGCCATTTAGGCAACTGATAGCTGTTCTTTGCCTATACAATGTTCTGTGTAATGTTAATGGGCTAAAATCATATCGTACATCTGGAGCTGTGCACCCAAAATTAGCAGACATTTTCTCTCTGGCTCAGTTAGTTGTCTGTAAAATAATCTCTTCTCTCCTTACAGGACTGCTGTGAAAATAACTTATTAGTGTATGCCAATTAGATGCTCTAGTAGCAAAGAGGAGCTACAAAAACCACTGAGGAAATTAATAGCTCTGTCTTTGTTGTAGATCCTCATTAACATGTAACAAATGAGCCATGGGATCAGGCTGTTCTGTTTTAAAGCAGTGTGTAGAGCTCTGTAGAGAACTATATTCAATTTTGCTAGGCAATAACTACAAAAAATTGCTCTGGGAAATGTTACTGTCAGTTCAAGAGATGCTGCTTCTTTGTGCTGTACACCTCTGCTAGAGACTTTTGTTTTCATGGGAGGGAGAGTAGAAGCAAAATCAGGCTGGTCCCTTCTCTGCTGCAGTAAATGGTAGGACATCTTAATTTATACTGATCTTAATTTCATTTTTAACATTATTATTTGTAAAATGCAGTTGCTGAGAAACTACCAGGAGCTTAATCCTTTGCCTTCAGTTGTGTATTAAATAACGCTCTTCAAGGGGCAGGATGGGGTGTGCTACCCCTGAATTGCCTCAGCAGAACCTGGTTGACTTCATCAGCTAAAGCCTGTAGATACAGCTACCTCCCCAACAAATTCTGTTGATTCTGTGTCTCAGAGCTTCTGAATAGTGGCAGATGTGAATTTATATATCCATGCATGCTCCCTCTAAAAAGCTGCAAAACATTATTAAACTGTTGAGGGAAATTATATTTTCCAGGCATTTAATTTACACAGCAGTTTTTTATCTCAAAGGAATCATGTTTATTCTAAGCTTGAGCAACTTTTGAAATCAAAAATAGAACAAAATTGTTGGCAAATTGCTAATGGGTGATATGGAGATTGTTATGCCTTTTTTCTCTTCTTAATTGGAATCTGATAGCCTCCTGTTTGAAATGGTCTCTCTGGAAATAAATGCTAATAATGTCAGTTTAAGCCTGGTGGAGCCAGTTTCAGCAACCCAACCTGTCACTGAACTAAACTTGAATGTAGTTTAAAAGAGAAGAAAGCTAGCCTGTAGGAATTAGAAAATAATGATGATAGTTGTTATTTTCTAGAACTTACTTGAAAACGTTTGTTCTCAGATTATAGTTAAAATGCAAACAAATTATTTATTATTAATTCTGTAAAGAGCATGAACTTGGTGGTATCAAATACTGAAAGACTAAGATTGGCAGAAGGAAGATTTGCTTTAGTGGTGTGCCTTCTTCATTACATGAAACATCAGGAGCCATATCTGTTGGTAAAATAGTAGTTCAGTGTTGTCAGGAATGGAAAAGAGCCTCTCACAGGAAGGTAGAACAGGCTCTGGCCAGTGTCTCTTGTCCCCTGCTATTGCATGTAACAGGCTCGTATGGATCCTCCATTTTTTCAGTTAACTCGATTTTTTTTCTTGGAATACTCTGTGGAAAGACTCTTCAATACCTCACTGCTTTGCCTATTAAAAGAACCACAAACAGTAGTTCTGCTGTATTTGACTCTAGCAAAGCTTGGATGCCAGCCTAAATACCCTTCTGTTAAGAACATTTAAGAAAGAAAATATGCAATGAGAGAAATCCACAGGGTTAATGCATACCTGTTTGAAAAGCAGCATTTGCAGAAAAGTTGTTGAGCGTGCCATCATGCTGGAAAAACATTTCAAGTGAAGACCCACAAAAATCTCATTTAGGCCTGGTTCTGCTCAGTGTTTTCATTCGATGATGAAACAGAAGGTGAACTGCTGAAATGGTCAGATGACCCCATATTAGGAGAGCTTGCAAGATTATTTTTTGGAGTAGAGGAGAAGCATTCAGTGATCTTGATTAGTTGCTACAAAGAGCTGAAGATCAACAGGGTGAAATTCAGTGAAAACAGATGTAATGTGCCACATACAAAAAGGATGACCAAATTATAAATACAGAAAGGAAAGCAACTGGCAGAACTGGGATTTTTTAGAGGATCATAGTATGGACTTGACAGTGGGTAAAAAAAAAAACCCAACTCAATGCTATTCTGGTATATAATATGTAATGTCCACTTAATTATTGGCTACCTCAGAAACATTGTCAAACTCTTTTATTTCAGTAGCTGAGACCAAGCCTAAGGGATAAATACTTGACTGAATGTTCACTCTTGATGTGGGACTGGGAAGCTTATTTCATAATGACCTGTAAGAAAAAAACATAAGAAAGAAAACATAAATATCCCATGGACTAGCTGCTAATGAGACATTTCAGAAGAGGATGAGGCCTGTGCATGCAGGCATAGAGTTAAAAAAGCAACACTGTTGGCAGAGGAGAGTGTCCTTGAGATTTTTAATCGAAAGTACATTTCTATCTGAAGAATGTAGGCATGTCCATCTAAATTCTTATCAAAGAAGGGTAAAGCTGAGAGTGTCATCAGCCTGTATGTACTCTGCTTTCTGAAATTATTTTCTGTAAATGTTTTCTCTTAAGTATATAACTGGACAGTCATAGGCATTCAGAGAGGAAGAGCTTTAAATTAATGCAGGTACATTTCATTGCTGTTGAAGGTGCTGCTGTCTAGGATGAGCTCTAGAAACAGGAGTTTGTAGAATTCCATGTCAGGAGGGGTACTTAAGCAAATATGATGTTTATGATGTTTTATAATGAATTGTATGTTTAAACAAGAAATAAAAAGCTGGTACTGTATGATGATATGCTTTATAAAGAGAGTCTTTTTAGAAAGGAACCTTTGTTAACATTGACTGGTTGTGCCTTGAGCCCACCCTGCACACGATTCTTTTCTGTTCTCTGCCAATTGTTTGGGCAGGAAGGAATGTTAGTAACTTTAAAATGACTAGTTGGACAGATCTTGATGGATACATGTAAATTAGTCTGTCCTGAATGTATGCAACTGCAAGCAGAAATAAATCAGGCAGAGGGTTTTTGTTTGTTGGTTTTATTTGGTTTTGTTTTGGGGCTTTCTTGAGTGTAACTCAAATATCCGTCATACAGAATATCCTTTGGAATTTTGGGAAGTGCATCCTTGGAGAACAAATGTATGTCAGTGATTGTGTGCAGGATTTAAGATGATACTTTCTGTTGTGATTTTAAACCCATCTCTTATTAACTGTAGCTTGGCTTTGCTGGTGGAAAATGTAACAAAAAACATGATGGGGATAATAATTTCCTATTAAAAATTTTGTTCCTTGCCTCTTGTGACAGGCACTATGATGGTAGAACTCCAGGAGAGGGTTACTGAACTGGAAAACTGGAAGGATGGCAAAGGCCTTATAATCCATGGTGCAGGAAACACTTTTTGCTCAGGATCTGATTTGAATGTTGTCAAAGAAATATCCAATTCCCAGGCAAGTATTAATACACATTAATGTTTTGGAGGAAAATTAATATTTTGAGATTCTTTTTAGACAGAAGTGTTGCACTGCACTTCTGCAATTTTACATACAGGTCATAGAATGGAGCTTTAATGGTAAAAAAAAAATACCCTGTCAGCCCTTTCAAGCTGCGATTTAAGTGTTATTGTAAGTGATTCATAACTCTAAATTCCTACACTAGATGTTCTTTTTAGCCTTTTCTTTTAAAAGTGTCATTTCAGTTTCTCACAGCAGTATATGGTGAATTTGCACGTCAGATAAAATGTGCTTCTGTAGTTTGACCTTTAGAAACAGATAAAAGTAATAATTTCTCATATTCTAAAAAAAAAAAGAAATTTAAGTAGAATGGCTGCTATTACAGAAAGGTTTCTATTTTATTAAAACTGTGATTGGACCTGCATGAAATGGAGGAACAGATGCAATTCTTGTGCTCTACTTGAGTCATGTGAGTCTTGTGTGTATCTATGAAGTTGAAGAGGTTGGGGTTTGATGGCAATTTTTTGCTCATGCCACCCATTGGACAACTTTCACATGTGCTACAGTTTTCTGTGGATTAATATGTGGATTTGGCAATGTGTGAAATAGGCCTTTGCCAGCTGCCAGGGAAGAGGGTCTTGCTGTGCTGCTCTTAGAAATGATTTACAGTTGTGGTAAGTGCCAATCCTCGTGCTTCTTTGTGGCCACCCCAAGTTTCAGGATTTAACCACATAAATGAAACATTTAATTGGCCCTTCCAGTATGAATGTCAACACAAAACTCATTAACCTGATATTTGTCTTTAGTGATGATTTTTTTTTCTGTTGATAAAACGAAATATCATAAACCCCGCAATGTCTTAGATTTTATTTCTGGCCTTGTAAAGTAAAAAGGACAGTCCAGTTTTCAAAGGGTATAGGACACTTTGTTTTCTTATGGGAACATTACAAGAGAGATGCTTTTCTTAATACAGAAATGTCATGCTTTATAGTATAAATGGATTTGGGGGAGGTTTTCATCTGGCTGTTTTATAAGAACTTGTAATTTAAAAAATATAGATATAGATGACATTTTTTTTCTAAATTTATTTTTTTTAAAATTTTGATCTGCAATTCTTAACTTCTTTGAGCATTATACCAACAGAAAAGGAGCTGAAGCCAAGCAAGGTCAATTCTTTTCTTATTTGCAGTGTAGGTTTTCCTTCGGAGTTCTGCGTTCAGTAAATTTCAGTGATACTGCTTCCATACATTTTGTATTCTCTCTGTATACTTATACAAATTACTTGGAGCCACTTCAGTGGCAGAGAGGGCTCTTGCAAGGACTATGTTCGATAACAGATATACTGGATAGAATGAAATGTATATATGTTATAAATTTGTTGAGAATTCTCTGCACATAATCTAGATCTCTCAACTGAAATTAAAGCCTAAGAGTCACCAGAAATGCTCCAAGAATAGTTAAACATAGTTGCTTTTCTATTTCCTTTGGAGATTTCAAGTAACTTATCTTTTACTGAGAGTTTCTGTATAATAGCTCCTAAAGCATCTGTTTGGTGGGATTTAATAGTCTTTACTAGAATATGAAATAGCATTTGCTGTTCTTCAGTCTTACAGAGCTCTTCGCTCTAACTTGATGCAGATGAGAGTATTTCGTCTGGTTTCAGGTTCAGTTTTCTGTCCATAGGCATCTTCAAGGCAAAAAAAAAAAAAAAGGTGAATAGCTTCATGCCTGTGCTGGTGTTTCAGAGTGTCACAGAGTATTCTGAATTGGAAGGGACCCACAGGGATGATCGAGTCCAACTTTTAAGTGAAGGGATTGAACCCACAACCTGTCGTTATTAGTACCATGCTCAAGCAACTCAGCTGTCCTTTATATATTTTTTTCAAGGCTTCTTTAGCCCATAGCTTTTAGTAATTGCAGAAAACACTTTTATTTTATCCTAGTGGTTGGTTGAGGGAGGACTATATTTTTCATAATTTTTGGTACAGTTTGCTTTTCCCTGTGGTGCAGAATCGGCAGAATAATGGCCAAGAATGCTGAAGGATTTTCGTGCCCCCTAGTGGCTCTTTGTCCTCCTCTTCCACTTCATTCTTTTCCTCTTTCTTTGTCCACCTTCTCCCGTGTTCAATTGTTCCTAACTCTGAAGCAAACCTAGATCCCCTGCCTGTTTTTCTTTTCTGACTGCTAACATTACATAACCAAATCGCAGAAGATAAATGAATAGTGGAATTTAAATAAAAAATATTTTCCTTGTCTTTATAAGGCTTTGTAAGCTGTTCCCAGAGCAAGAACCTCATTCTGGAGTGAGACTTGAAAAGTTGCCTAGCTGAAAAGCAAGAATAGCTCTTAAAGCAATAGCTCAGAGGAAGAAGGACAAAGGAGAATTTTGCTTTCCTTGGTCCCTGTCTAGAAGCCCTAGGACAGAGGTTCCCAAACATAAGCTGTGGAGGGAGGACTTTGGAGCAGTTGGAGATAATATGTAAATTATGTTCTATCTGTAGTGCAAATGGATTCAAAGCTCTTGCAGCAATAAGAGCCAGCATTACAGTTTTCTACTTTATGAAGGTGACTTTCTTCTTCCCTACCTCTCTTAGGCCCACACCAAGCTATTAATCCTTTTCTTCCATATGTAGTAAATGCATTTTACTGCATTTTACCTCCCTTTCTGCTAGTTAGATATCTTCTTATTTCAAGGACAGTATTAGAGCTGCAAATATAATTATTCTACTAGACTGCAGCGAACACCCCTTAGTCAGAGAATTTTATCTGAATAGTAGCCTTATTTTTCTTGTCAGGAAGGTTTGAAGGGTTTATTTGCCTGCACTCAAGCAATTGGTTTTTTTTTTCTTGGGTTTTTGGGTTTTTTTTAATGCGTGTGTTCTGTGGAAGCATTTTTTTCCATGGTATACAAAGTAATCTCTGTATCACCTGAGAGAATGAAGACTTTATTTTTGTCTGCTCAGACATAAATGCATTTTTCAAGTTTGTCTGTTCTGGAATTAATATTTAATTACCATTTTGGATTTTGTCATGAGTTGAGAAGGGCAGTTTGAATGCAAGGATTCTGCTGGGATGAAGTGAAAAACTGTGTTCTCTGAAGAGCTTTTGTACAGCTTCATCCTTACAGTTGTAATATGGGAATTGTGCAAGTCTGTGTCTGAGAACTGGTACCCTGTTTGCGTGGGCTTTGAACTTAGCTACTAAGGCAGCTATCACAAAGGGTTTGAATGTTCTTTAATTTGGAATGGAAATATTGCTACTGTTCTTAGGGGATATAGGAGATGGCTACAGTGATAATTAAAAGCCTTTTTATAAATCAACAGCTGCTAAAATTTTCGAGGAGCCCTTTAGTGTAGTAAAACTATATACACTGGTTCATGTATAGCAATTGTCACGGCACTTACATCTGCCAGAGATCTGTGCCTAAATCATAATGCTGGTTGGCTTTGGGCAGAGTAGCTCTTGGGAATACATGACTAAATGGACAATAAATCACCTGCAATTGGCCTACTGTTACTGTTTCAAGGTTCTATTCCAAAGATGTACTGAAGACTTACTTCATATATTTTCTTTCCCTGAGGTATGAGTCAGAGGCTTTTAATTCAGGCATATTCTCTAATTTGCAGCTTCTGTAAAACTGTGTTTTAGAAATTAGTAAATTCTGATTCAGAGGTGTTTGGTTTTGTTTGTTTGAATTTTTTTCCTTTATTATTTGAAAGATGTGCTGAAATTTTTACCTACTAATTTTTTATTTCGGCGGTGTCCAAGCATAATTTTTTTCTTTTATCTGGGATAAATAATACATGTCGTTCAATTCAGTATGTATATGAACATGGTGGTTCTGGATCATTTAGCCCAGTTATTTGTCAAGTTCCTGATTAATTCTAGATGTCTGAATAAGAGGATAACAACAGGGAAGGCAGATGGATAATGATTTTGTCTCAAAATATTTTCTTAGCTCCCAGCAACTTGTGACTAAGACTTCTAGAGCTATAGATGTTGCCTTCTATGTAATAACCTATTGTTGCTGTTCCTGTTGTGAGTTTATGTAGTTGTTCTTGAATTCATGTAGAGGGTGTAAAGCCCTGCTGCCAAATGTTCCACATTTTAAGTATGCATTAGAGGAAGAAATATTTGTTTTGAACATATTTCATTTGGAGCCCTTTAGTTCTTGTACTAGATTAAAAGTAAGTGTTTGTATCTTTTTCACTGTTGATTGCAAGGAGATGTAAAACACAAAGGATGAGAGACATAAGAAGAATCTTCTTTCTGGTTTGGTTGTTTATTTGTTTCAGTGTTTTGTGGTTTGGTGTTTTTAGTTTTCTTTTTTATCTATAATGCTTTTGGCCCAAACAATAAAAGATTAAATTGTTAGATTTTATCTTGTCTAAAACTTGATGGATTTGGGACGTTAAAAGTATGTAGCACGCTGTGGCTTTGTACAGAATTTAAAAACTGAGATTTATGTGTGTTCAACTTGAAGTGAGAAGAGGAAATTAAAAGGAAACACTAAAATTTAACAGCATAGAAATTCAGTATTGCAATTATTTGAACAGTGGCTTAATTTTAACTGAAATTTATATAAGTCAGTTGAGTTCTGATTTTTTTTTTAGCCTGATTTATACTAGGTTTTCTATTTGTGCATTTGGACTAGAATTTGGCCAACATGAACCAGAGACAAAACCCAGCTGAAGTAAATATAAAGAATGCTTACTCCTGTTTACTTTGTCTATGTGTTTAATTGCTTCACATTAAGATCATGTAATGTTTTTTAATTTCCTATTCATTGTAGGATGGGATGAATATGTGCATGTTTATGCAAAACACCTTAACCAGACTTATGAGGTAATATATTTTATTTACCCATTTATGAAGTAATTATAAGTATCAGAATGTATTTTGGCTAACTCTTTAACGAGATGTTTAAAGATAAATATGTAGTTTTATGTATGTAATTTTGAATCCCAGACCTTGTGTTCACACATGTTAATCAGGTAGGTATTTATGGATTTAAATTAGACCTTAACATTTTGCAACTATTACACTTTCCAGAGATTGGAACAGGAAAAAAAAAACAACCCTAGGCTTATATGTGTAGAGTTAGGAGATACCCAGAATTAAGGAAATCTAGGCCTTCAGATTTTCTGAAACTCAACCTCTCTAACTCACTGGAAATTGGTAGCTCTTAAATAAAAAGCACCAACAGGTTATGCAGCCTACATAGGTAACAGTTATTTGACATATTTATTTAATCTTCCCACTTCAGAAGAGGAGTGTGTCAGTTCTACCATCTGGTAATTCTGAAAAAGACACCCTTTCCTTTAGACTTGGCTTCCCTTAAGAAGTCACATTTCTGTTAAATCCATTTGTGGTAGAGACTGTGTTTTTCTGCTTAGAGCTCTTTGAAGATGAATATTCTTTGTTTTCAAATATTCTTTGTTTTCAAATAATCTGTATGAGAAAATGTTATGAATTAACATTTTTTCTGTAAAATTACCCAGGAGATTGGAAACCCACATTAGTAGTACTGTAAGAAATCCTCAGGATTGGAAGCCATTTGCATAAGCTTGTCTCCATATAATCGAAATTGATGGGGCAAAGCTAAGAGGAGGAAGATGTGTGAAGATTAAGTCCCCACCTCAGGTGTGTAGACTTAGTGTATCTAAGCCATGGTTCAGGGGGAGCACTGAGCTGCTGTCTGGGGACATCTGTTGTAGATGGGATTAGTCTCCCTCAGAGCTGAGACTGACTGTGATCCTGAGAGGTGCCTCAAATGGATTAGAGTGTGGATGTAGCCATTTTGGACCCACATCTTCTGCTTTCTCATAAAGCACAGGAAAAATGAGATTGCCTTCTTCCAGTGGGTTTTCTTATGCCATGTATTGTATGAACTGTGCTGCAGCTTGTAAGTGAACTTGGGCTGTAAGAAAGTGTTGGTGCTTCTGTTAAAGGAGAACTAAAACCAGACATGTGGTTATGATTAGGATGCTGACTTCTGAATGTGGTTTGCAAACTGCTCAAAAAGCTAAATGTCTCTTCATAGTAAAAGATGAAACAGCTGTATTAGTGTGCAAATTCTGTGACTAACCAGCTGCCTTCATTTCTTAAGGAACTTGCCTTATCCTAAGTCACTGCTCATTAATATTCATTTCACATCAGCAGTGGGGAGACATACTTTTCCTTCCCTCTGTCCTTTGAATTACCTTGAACATGATTAAATACCTTGAACATGATTAAATACAACACCAACAAAGGTAACAGATTGCTGCTTTCCTCAAAAGGTTTTGTCTGCAAAAAAAGTTTTGTTGATGACTGAGATAGTAGCACTCTGTTTGAAGAAGCTGCTGAAGCTGTCATGGTAAATCTCATTAATTTTAGATAACCCAGCCCTTCAGTTCTTTGTGTCTCTTTCTGCTGCTTTCTGTGGTGCAGTGGCTTAGAGTAGAATCTTGTGTTGCTATCCTGTCACTCCTTGCAGGTAGTCTTTTTAGATATATTCTATAGCAGGTCTTTTTCATAATGTGTTTTTCAGTACATGATCTTTATTTTGATTCCATTTAAAATATCTGTGTTGCTGTTTCATTCTGATATTCTGTATCAATTATGCAATAGTAATTTTGACATAAGTGGAATTGGTGTTGCGCTGACTACCCACAAAGATGTAGTTATTTGATTAAATTGGAACAGTATATTTTTCTCAACTTTTACTGTATAAATGGTTTGGTTGAATTGTTTTGTAATTTCTGAAAGGCTAAAAGCATGAATTTTGCTTACTAAGGTCTCTTGTGCAGGTTGCCTTTGATCAGTGTTGCACTAGTTCAAGGAAAAGCTTTTGGAGGAGGAGCAGAACTTACCACAGCATGTGATTTCAGGTAAGGCTAACAAGTGTGTAGCTGTTATGTTGGGTCAGTGATTTAATGGTTGTCCAACTGAAATTTGAGAAGCTTGAGGTACCGCTTCTACCAGGAGTCCTGTTCCTGGGTTCCAAGGCATTTGCAATGAGATTTTGTCATCAGATGTCACAGGAAAAGAAACGTTGTGGTATCTGCAAAGTTATGTGGTTTGGATCACTGTGTAAAATAAGAGCAGTAAGGAATTTTAGCAACTGACTTGGCTGGACACACCAAGTGTGTTCAACTCACCCCTGAGTGAGAGGTAGGAGGGTTGCAAAATTGTATATCTCCCTGTGTCTCTTTTTGTGAATGTCATAAGTAAAAATAAATAAATAAATCTCTTCACTACTCTTGTATTTCTTGTTCTGGGTTTATTATTTGTAACATAATATTGTGCTGCACAGCTGTTGAAACAAGAATTTGAGGTGCAGAGGAAAACAAATGAGGTTTCATCCCTGGGTTTTTTTACATGCAGGTGCAGGGATTTGCTAGCACAAACAACTGGCAAAAAAAGAGGGCTTTAATTAAATAGGCAGAAAAGGAATGGGAAGACACTAAAGTAATAAAATGTCACTTCATATAAACGGTTGCTAATGTGTAAACAGCCTATAGATGTAGCAGGATAAGCACAGTGGGCAGCATCTCTGAAAATAAGGAGCTTTTAGTAAGGCTTTCATCTAAGAAAAGGAAATGTGCTCTTGAAGAGGGCCTTAGTGCCTGAGATGGGAAAGGAGTTGCCTCGAACAAGCTGAAAGAAGATACACTCAAAAGTAAAGTAACCTAGAATATTAGAGTGCTGCTCCAGGTGTCAGGACCAGGCTTTGGATAGAGGAGATGATATCTGCATTGTCTGAGCCGCTTGGAAGCAATCTTCCTTTGCTTTGAAAGTAGATGTGGCTGGATCTTTCTTCATGTCTGCTCAGCACACAGTGAGCTGGAGCCCCAGCTGTGATGTGAGTCCAGGCTGTGTTACAAATAGCAGAGAGGCTCTGTGTTTGACAGCTGCAGTGCTGGCAGGAGAATGCACCTGGGAGACTCAGCAGACCTTTCTGTATCTGTGAGCCTGTCGACAGAAAGTGTTTCTTGTTATCTCTAAATAGGTGTTTAGGGAATGGGAATATAATGAAATGGAAATCTTTTGGCTTTCTAAAATATGTAGTCTCTACTTACGCTCCCCCTATGCTGTTTTGACATGCTGTGTAATTATAGGCATTATCAAGTAGCTCTTATTTGCATGAATTGAGCAGCTGCAATTCCTCTCATGCAGTGCCATAATTTTCATAATAACTACAGCTGTTGATCCATCTTCCATTACTTTCTACACACCCATCCAGTGCAACTAAATAACAGCCATTCAGGAGCAGCAAATGGGGCTTAATTAATAACAGCAACAAGACAGAGAAACATACTCTGTGCTGTTATTGCTCTTGAATTTGAGAATTTTTATACTGGTGGACAGAATTCCAGGGTTTTTTTGAGGACTGTAAGTAGATACTAGTGGAATATTTGTAGGTATTCTGTCCTCAGTCACTAGATGACAAAAGATGAACATGAGACAGAAATGAGAGATTTGTTTTCTTCTTTGAATAATCTGTTTGAGCATTTTATTTTTTAAAAACAAAATGAATTTGTTGTGGTTGCTTTTAATTCTAGATTTTCAAACACAGTTCTATTTTTCACAGTCTCTGTTTAAACCACCAAACTGCTTGGTTTTGGCCTGAAATGTTTTCTTATCTCTGCCACTTTGTACTATATTAACTATACTGATATAGTTTGAGCAACTCACTTGAACCAAAATGACCTAGGTACCTGCTCTGAAATGTGGTCTGGCAGCATGATGCACACCTCTACTAAAGTAGAGGTGTGGACATGTCCAATTTTAAAATAGCTGAGGTGGTTTAAGATATTACTGATACATTCTTCCTGTAGCAGTTCCTGTGGCTAATTGTCTCACTGTGTTTTAAGCTGGCTCATTTTTAATCGGATTAGGGGGGGCTTGTGTGAACTTTGGCACATTTATTGCTGAAATAAGGACAGTGATAAAAAGTGAAAGCATCTTAGATTAGTCCATGTTTAATGTCGAGAAAGAGGTCTTCTCAAAACATCTTCTCAGTCTTAGCTGTTTTATGTGTTGTTGCAATATGGCTCTCCAGAAAAGCAGTATCCTTATAAAGATCATAAACATGTTACTGGGGAGAAAAAAAACATCAGACCAGTCCAGACAAGGGCAAGGTTATTAATTTCCTTTCAGACTTTTTCTGATATGAAAATTGGAAAGATAAAGCTTCTGATACTAGAATTATTTATCTCAATTATTACTGCAAAACTGGGTAATGTAGAAGGGTGCAAGTATGAAACTTGCTCAGACAGCTGAGCATTTTAGTAATATTTTCAAGAAATACTGACTTTTTTCAATGTGCCACGTTGAGCACATGAAGGCAACTCGTGTTTTCTGCTGCCAAATGTTAATGTATTTTGAAGCTCTGCATGACACCGCAGCCATTTCAGTGAGGTGCAGAAGTGAATGTGATGTTGGATTTAGTTAGTGATGGAATTTTACAAATAATTGAGGTGCCTGCTTTGGGTTCCTTTATGCAGAAACTTGAAGTGTGTCTTGTGCTTACACAGTGTGTGAAGGTAAGGGGAGCAGATCTGGCAGGATTGGTTGAGGACTTCAGAAAGGAAAACAGGAATGTAAGCTGACAAATACGGGGAAGAGACAGTTGGTAATGAATCCATTTGTGCAATTAGCAGATCACCATAATCTCTGAGTGTGGTTGCTGCAATTTGCTACCAGATAGTAGCCAGAATAACTAACTTTGAATTCTGATCTGTCTTGTCTTCTGTTTCATGTTAGTGCCATTGAGGAATTTTGCTGGGGCGATGTCTGTGTAGGTCTTTTACACACATCTCCATCTTCAAAACTTTGGTCCTATATTGCCTGGCAAATGGACTTCCATTGTATCTGAGTGCTTCTGAGACACAGTTGCTTTCCCCCTACCTCCTTTTTCCTCTCTAAAGCTGCTGCAGTCCAAGTAGAGGTGTGTCTGTGTCCCTGACATGTCAATCAAATTTAAAAGTTGGTGTCTTGAGGCAGAGGACGAGAGTGCAGAGATGGAAAACTGCCCATTTCTCATACCATTGATCTCAGAATGGGCTCGTAGGTAGAGACAGCAGTAATTTCCTTTTCTTCTTTAGAAAATAAATTAATGAACTATAATTTCTTCAGCTGTAGTTGATGTTGCACAGTTAAATTGCAAAGGGCCAGTTTCATTACTGTTATAAGTGCTGAGCTAACTAATAGCTTATGCTAATAATACTGCATTTATCAAAATTGGCCTTCTTTCATTTTAGTGGTATGTTTTCTGTATTTCTGTGAAATATGTAGTCATGCTTATAGTATTACATTTTAAGGTGTTAAATATGTTCCATGAAACACTTAGTAAGAGATACAATGAAATGAAATGTTATGGATAGCTTTTGGTGTGTGTGTTCCTGTGATAATTTATGTTTATTTGATTCTACAAGTTGTGCATTAAATGCAGCATATAGGAAGTCAAAGGAGCAGAAGATAATCTAGTCTCTGCATAGTAGTAGCTACACTATGACCAACTTTTCAGTTTTTCACCTTTCAAAAAGGAGAAGAAGCCATAAAGACTTCAGTATTCTGCAGTAAACTTTTTCAAAAATAGGTTTCAGAACATCAGAGCACAGCACATGAGCTTCTTTGGAAATCTTTTATTCTGTACAAGGATTTGGGCTTTTAATTTTATCAGGAGGAACATTTAGGTGCACAGGATGCCACTGTTTGAATTAAGGGTGCCTCAGGACATAGTAACATTTTTCATTGGGTAGAGCCTGATATGAATGTAGCAACATGAGGTTCACATATTTATGAGTTCTTGCAGAGTCCAGGCTCACAAAGCACTTTCCATTCATGTGACTGTAACATTGCTACACATCATCAGAGAAGAATCAGTAGCCAAATTTGAGAGTGGCTTTTATGTAGAAACTTAAAAGATAATGGACTAAAATGTGTATGTTTCAAAAACTGATATCTGGATAGCCATGGAGCCAGCCAGGAGTTGTTGGTAATAACACACTGTGAGAAAGAACAGGGTGTGGGTGGAGAAGGGGTCCATATGGAGGTAGAGCAGCACTTTTCTGGGACAGATGTCCTTGTTCTGGTGCAACAGAATAAGCACAACACAGTACAGGGCAAGTGTAGCAATGAGGTTGAGAAGTGGACATGCACTGTAGGTTAAGACCATCAAAGACCCTTCAGGCCTCCAACCTATTTCCAGAAAGATCTAGAGGAAAGAACTGTGCATGATAACTAATTTGCATAGAAAGTGAGAAGCTTGCTTCCAGAACAGGGTAAAGTTATCTATAAAAAGGTATCCCCACAAAGCCTGAGCATGTGTGCACCCCAGGACCCTGGATACTCCAGCTAGGTCAATGCTGGGGCTAGAATAGGTGATCTCTCTAATTTTCTTTCTTCCTTCCTGTCTCACACACTTTAATTCATATCTCTCTCTCTTCCCTTTCACCCTACCCCTTATCCAAAACCCACTGCTGTGTGCTTATGCTGGGAGGTCAGGGACTAGAATAACAATGTCCTTGCCAAGTGTGTAAATTATTAATAAAACTCTATAAGCTTTTGCAGGTCCTCTGACTTTTGCCATTCCTTTCAACCATGAGCGTCTACGAATATTGGGTTCTCCCTTCTCCTTAAGGGTGGGACATCACATTCTCACAGCTTCAAGTGCTTGCTGTGTGGCATAGATTACTTTTTAAAACTATGTAGAATTTTGGTCTCATATATATATGTGTGTCTGTGTGTGTGTATTTAAAATCTCCTGCAAATCAGTTGGCAGTTTTAGAATTCCAATGCAGCCCTACGTCACATTTTTAGAGCCCTGGGGGTTTGTTACTACAAGTTTCTGGTTATGATTTTAAAAGTCTCACATTGCTTGCCT